TTGTTGGGATTCTTGTGGTTGAAGAAAGAGCCAGCAAAAAAAAAGGGCCATGAAAGAGAGAGAGGTTGAGTTGTTTACATGTGTGGCTAATTACGTTTGGTTAAGTTATTATAATTAGTGGAGAATGTTTTATTTTTAGAAAACTGCTAAATTGGACATGAAGCCAAAAAACACACAACAACTATGATTCCCTATTTCAAGAAGAAAGAAGAACTAGGACTGGAAATCTAACCAGACCCCCAACTAACTAGCTTAACAAGGTTTCGAATTTCAGCAACACCATCTCTGAGAGCACGAAACGGGAACCAAGTAGGTATTGGATACAGTGATCCTAACCATATCTCTGAAGCTAGAAGTTTGTAAATGATAGTTAGCCGAGAACTCGTAACAGCTGAAATAACGTACCAGGGAAGACTTCTTCACTGCCACTCAGTTCCTGCTGCGGATACATGAAGATATCAGACAGGACAAGTGTGTGAAGTTTTGTTCCGAAACAAAGACCAGAATGTTTAGGAATACTGAACATGCTTGTAGAATCTTCGATTCCGAGAGAAAGAGTTGCAGTTTCAATCGGTTATGTCCCCTCAAGCACCTTCCCCGATTAGTAGTACCAGAGCAAGGAAATCATACTTCTGACTAAGAAGATCAAACAGTTTCTTTGTTTCACTCAGTGATCTTCTTTGTTTCACCTGTTATTATAATAAATTTTCAGAAGCAGGAACCAGAATGAACGCAACGTAGATTCCAACAGTAACTAGAGGTTTGTTGAATTGATCTAGACATAGCCTGCGTATTCCTCTTTGCATCTCCAGACATTTTGCACACACCGTAACTAAGGTTTCAGTATCTTACAAGAGAAGAAACAAGTAATCTTGGTAACAAATAGCAAAGCAAAGAATGGTCTTGTCAAGAAAAGAACCAATACTCAAGAGGGCAAAAAACTCACATATCTTGCCATCTCAATTTTGCTCAAAACACAAGAATCTCATTTTCACAATCCCAACTCACAAAAGAAGTAAATTGGAGTTCGATTCACACAAAACGCCGCCTACTAGCTCACATCACATGGATCTAGAGATTTGCTCATTTTCGATGTCATGTCATTAACCTAGCGCAACGACAATAGAAGAAAAGCCATCGCCAAAGAGACTAAGCCGCCACGATCAGAGAAGCTTCACTTTCCGGCTAATCGGAAGTAAAGTGGAGGAGGACAAGGATTTATTCATATCAATCTCTACCGGTTGATCTACTTTCGATCGTAGCCGTTCAAACCGGTTCGGTCCAACTTATTTCGTCTCCACCGGTCGGGAGTTTACATGTATCATGTATGC